AGGGCGGCGGCGGGGGCGGCGGGGCGGCGGCGCGGGCGGGCGAGAGGACGAGAGGACGGGCCGGACGGGTGAGAGGACGGGTGAGAGGACGGGCGGCGGGCAGAAGGACGGACGGGGGCGAGAGGACGGCGGCGCGGGCGAGAGGACGGGCGGGCGGGCGTCGAGGCCCTCGGCTCCGGAGCCAGCAGCTCTCTCTTCGCGTGGCGCGGCGCCCACGGCACTCGAACCGAGGACTCTCGCTCCGGCCGCTCCTTCCCTCGCCCGGCAGCGCTCGTGATTGCAAGTCTCGGCGAAACATCGATACAGCAGCAAAAGGTTTCCGATGTCGATGGAAACATCGATGTTTTAAATAGGATGAAACATGTCGAAGGAAAATGTCCTGGATCTAACATAATGTGTCAATATTTGTTCAACGTATATTCTGTATTAAATTTGACTGTCATTTTGTCCCATTCGAGCAAAATTGTTGCAAGAAAAAATGTGTTGTCATTTTTTCGAGAAAATTTCGAAAATGACATTCGAAATCTTCATAAGAACCTCAAAAACAATTTTAATTTGTTTATCATCTCCGGAACGACACAAGTAGATTTTGCTCTTTTATGAAATATTTGGATCAAACTCTTCAAGTCTGTAGCTCACAAGCTCCTAATCTGCACTGTAATGCGTGACGCACATGAGCCTATCCATCCATTTATCCCCACTTTAAGGTACTATTGTTTGTATCTACTCTACACCAGTGCCTTAATCTTCAGTCTGTTCGGAACATCGCTAATAAACCTTAATCCTGACGAATGTGCAGAGCTCAAGTTTAAAAGTACTGCAAACACGAATTTTATGACAAAGAATTGAGATCGTTTTGTTGAGTTAATTGCAATATTTTTCCAATATTAAAGTTCAAGGAGGAAACGTAAAAAAAACACGACAAAGTATGTTACCATAACAACAGAGGATACATAAACCAAAGTGATCACTGTCCACTCTCACTACAAATAGACACGTAATATTTTGTGTTTGTGCAGAGAAAACAAAAATACACAATATATTTTAAGCCAATTACATGAAAGGATTCCGTTACATGTAATTCTCTGAAAAAGTTGAAACATGAAAAACTGTCAGGAACAAATAGACAATGTGTGTTCCGCAAAGCCCTTTCCTACGAGTAGTTTGCACGTAATTTAATGTTTGTAATGCAAATACACACATTGAAACAAACTCAATGCGGAGTTGTCACTTTGTTTTATCAAATGCAATGCATTTTGCATTCCGTACATTTCTCGCGTCGAAAATTTCTTTCAAACTTTAGAGACGAAATTTATTTAAAAATAACTTCACAAAATAAGGATAATCAGCAAAAGCAATTATTTACATAAAAGGTAAGTAAAAGCAAGTTGGTGTAAAGAGGTAATATTTAAAACAAAAAGAATTTCTCACTAACGAAATTTAATTTTTTTTGGATAACTATTAATGATATATAATATAATTTTTTGAAATAGGCTATTGTTTATGGTACATGTTAAACACGTGTTCAATAAAATTTTAATAAAACATTTTTTTAGTTATAAAAACATGAAGACTCACCGCACAGCAAAAACAACGTGGGTGTGATCTGAGCAGAATAATACCAACCTGCAACAGAAGAACGCAAGGTTACATCCCAAATTAACAACAAACCACAATTTACTTATAAACTTAAAGGAGAATGGATTGGGAAAAACTACAAATCAGTAATATATAATCGGACTTATGAAGCAACCAAAACATTTTAGCATTCAGAATTATAATAAATAATATCGGGTTCAATAAATAAAAATGTTTCACACGAGTTGCGTATAATTGTTCGCAGGAAATGTTACTACGGTAGTAAAAAACTTCTAATTTGCAGCCTCTCATTGCACCATTCCGAGAATCCAAATGATTCATTGCGGTCGTACTATTATTTCCTCGTGATAAAAAACCTCACACCGAGGCACATACCGGCACCCGTTTGCAATACAACCTACTAGCACCACCAGCATCCGCAAATCGATAGCACACCTTGTACTATTTCTTCTTCCTCTCGTAGAACCATCAGGACATAAAAGAGGGTTGTAATATCCCGGCGGGCGAGCGGGCGGTGCTGGCGAGCGGGTGGGTGGTGCTGGCGAACGGGTGAGTGGTGCTGGCGAGCGGGTGGGTGGGTGGTGCTGGCGAGCGGGTGGGTG